ATTGTAGACTAGTACATGATTGTATACTCTTACATGATTGTAGACTATAACATGATTGTAGACTAGTATGTATACATGATTGTAGACTATTACACGATTATAGACTAGTACATGATTGTATAGTACATGATTGTAGACTTACATGATTGTAGACTATTACATGATTGTAGACTAGTATGTATACATGGTTGTAGACTATTTCATGATTGTAGACTTACATGATTGTAGACTAGTATGTATACATGATTGTAGACTATTACATATCATGTAGACTATTACATGATTGTAGACTATTATGTATACATGATTGTAGACTAGTATGTATACATGATTGTAGACTAGTACGTATACATGATTGTAGACTATTACATGACTGTAGACTATTATGTATACATGATTGTAGACTATTACATGATTGTAGACTAGTATGTATACATGGTTGTAGACTAGTACATGATTGTAGACTAGTATGTATACATGGTTGTAGACTAGTACATGGTTGTAGACTAGGACATGATTGTAGACTTACATGATTGTAGACTAGTATATGATTGTAGACTATTACATGATTGTAGACTATTACATGATTGTAGACTGTAGATTATTATATGATTGTAGACTATAGACTTTTATATGATTGTAGACTAGTACATGATTGTAGACTATTACATGATTGTAGACTGTAGATTATTATATGATTGTAGACTATAGACTTTTATATGATTGTAGACTAGTACATGATTGTAGACTATTACATGATTGTAGACTATAGACTAGTACATGATTGTAGACTTTTACATGATTGTAGACTATTATTGTAGACTATTACATGATTGTAGACTATAGACTAGTACATGATTGTAGACTTTTACATGATTGTAGACCATGATTGTAGACTATTACATGATTGTAGACTATAGACTATTATATGATTGTAGACTAGTACATGATTGTAGACTATTACATGATTGTAGACTATTACATGATTGTAGACTATAGACTAGTACATGATTATAGACTTACATGATTGCAGACTATAGACTATTACATGATTGTAGACTAGTACATGATTATAGACTTACATGATTGCAGACTATAGACTAGTACATGATTATAGACTTACCTGATTGCAGACTATAGACTATTACAAGATTGTAGACTAGTACATGATTTTAGACTTACATGATTGCAGACTATAGACTAGTACATGATTGTAGAGAAGTACATGATTGTAGACTAGTACTTGATTGTAGACTAGTACGTGATTGTAGACTAGTATGTATACATGGTTGTAGACTAGTACATGATTGTAGACTTTTACATGATTGTAGACTATTACATCATTGTAGACTATAGACTAGTACATGATTATAGACTTACCTGATTGCAGACTATAGACTATTACATGATTGTAGACTTTTACATGATTGTAGACCATGATTGTAGACTATTACATGATTGTATACTATAGACTAGTACATGATTATAGACTTACCTGATTGCAGACTATAGACTATTACAAGATTGTAGACTAGTACATGATTGTGGAGAAGTACATGATTGTAGACTAGTACATGATTATAGACTTACATGATTGCAGACTATAGACTAGTACATGATTGTAGACTATTACATGGTTGTGAAAAGACATGGAATGACATGAAAACATATCATGAATGTTTTGTCTGAAACAGCCATGAATAAACATGAAGAGGAATGCAGTTTCATGGAGGCAAGTCAAGGAATGCGTCATTTCATGGTTAGTGATTTACGTACTTTAGTGGAATTTTTGTGAACTCACCCCAGTCTTATCTGCCTTATTTGCTCTCTTAATTGAAACTTTTCCAGATTTCAATATCCACACATATTGCAAAAAATAAAACTGTAAATGCTTAATCCCATAAAGCTTTCAATTATTATTTCAAATAAAAAAATATGAATTATTATTGATATTCAATAGGACACATTCTCAATTTTGAGACAATAAAATCACAGAAAATGAGTGTCCAGTAACACCTGAAATCTTAGTGCAAACAGCAAAGATATTGTGTATTAATCCTTCCTTTAATGACCTACCCTTGGTGTATGAACATGTATGTAATGAATCGCCATGCCTCGTATCTCCTCTTAGGCAGGTAGATCAGTGGGCTGTACGTAGGAACACCTGAGTTAGCCGTTACTGGATTACTGGTGTCTTTTAGCTCCATGGCATACACCACAAATATAATGATCTGTTAAAACAAAATACAGGTTTAAATATCATTTTGAATATCTCATCAGTGCAAATATCCTAATTTTAACCTTTATACAGTGTTATGACATTGTCGTGTTTATAACGACTAATGACTCAGTTATTGTAGAGATAACTGTTGATAATGGTGTAACAAGGTCTAGCCTCACAACATGTAAAATTCATATCCAAAAAAGCCAATATTATAATGGCTGAATATAGAAAATGAAAGTCTGCACTACTTTGCACTGAAATGCTAACATTGAGACCACAATTGGTCTTAGTACAATGGTGACATCCTACCTCAATGATGTTACACTTAACTACAAACATGGACTGAGGCATCCATCTGCTTTACTTACCAGTAATTCATACCATTTATATACACTAAAAGTGATCAACATGACGACATCCGGTCGTATGTTTTGTTTTACCAGTGACCTGATTATGTATACAGCAAACAAATCAGTAGATCATCACTTCACACAGATTTCAGATTAACTTTTGAATTTTTAAATACTTCACAGTGGTATTTTAGTAAATACATAACAGTATGACTCAGGGAAAATCCAGCTTAAATCAAAATCTTTAATCAATGTGCCTATTATGACTGTTCAAAATATAAAGTTTAAAAATTCTGAACACTTGAATACATTTATCATTTACATGTAGAACAAGGAGAAACTGGTACTAAACCAAGGTATGGACAGAACGTCCTCCCCAGGGGAGACAACTGACCTCCACATGGACAGAACGTCCTCCCCAGGGTAGACAACTGACCTCCACTGTACTGATGGTACTAAATAAAGGTATGGACATAATGTCCTCCCCAGGGGAGACAACTGACCTCCATTATACTGATGGTACTAAACAAAGGTATGGATATAATGTCCTCCCCAGGGGAGACAACTGACCTCCACATGGACAGAACATCCTCCCCAGGGTAGACAACTGACCTCCACTGTACTGATGGTACTAAACAAAGGTATGGACAGAACGTCCTCCTCAGGGGGGACAACTGAACTCCACTGTACTGATGGTACTAAACAAAGGTATGGACAGAATGTCCTCCCCAGGGGAGACAACTGACCTCCACATGGACAGAACGTCCTCCCCAGGGGATACAACTGACCTCCACTGTACTGATGGTACTAAATAAAGGTATGGACATAATGTCCTCCCCAGGGGAGACAACTGGCCTCCACATGGACAGAACGTCCTCCCCAGGGGATACAACTGACCTCCACTGTACTGATGGTACTAAACAAAGGTATGGACAGAACGTCCTCCCCAGGGGAGACAACTGCCCTCCACATGGACAGAACGTCCTCCCCAGGGGATACAACTGACCTCCACTGTACTGATGGTACTAAACAAAGGTATGGACAGAATGTCCTCCCCAGGGGAGACAACTGACCTCCACTGTACTGATGGTACTAAACAAAGGTATGGACAGAACGTCCTCCCCAGGGGAGACAACTGACCTCCACTAAACTGATGGTGATCATGAAGATTGGAGGTGGACAACAGGTGTAGTTGGCTATGAAATCCTCCCGCATGTGTTTAGGCAAGATATCTGCGATGGCATCCCTAAGAACGCTTCTAAATGCAGATCTCTCTGCTTTGGTCAAGTCACGGGTCATCTGTGGACAAAGGGTAAAAGATATAAGGAAAATCTGTCTAATGTAAAGAGACTACACATACATCAGAATATCTATTCTTCATCCAGTACATCAGACAGGTCAACATGCTTTCAATTGAAATAAGAACAATTGGTATACATTATTGTAAATTATGTATGCTATATTGGTTGTCGCAGTCACCAATACACTGTATGCTATAACAGCCTGATCTATAGTTTTATGATGAACTCTTTGTATGTTGTGGGGCATATTTTCCTGTGAACTCCCTTACATTGTGAGAGTCGCTATTACATTAAACGCCCTAATGTTATTAAAGTAATCCGTCATAATCTTCCCGTACAATTTACTACCTTTAATATCATATAGCTACCATGAACTGTGTGTACTTTATAAGAGTGACCATTAGGATGAAATTCCTGACTCTATGTAGTCATACCATTGTCATGAACATCCTGACTCTATGTAGACATATTGCCATGAACTCTCCAACTCAATGTAGAAATATTGCCATGAACTCTCCAACTCAATGTAGACATATTGCCATGAACTCCCAAGCTCTATGTAGAAATATTACCATGGACTCCCTGACTCAATGTAGAAATATTGCCATGAACTTTCCAACTCAATGTAGAAATATTGCCATGAACTCTCCAACTCAATGTAGACATATTGCCATGAACTCCCCAGCTCTATGTAGAAATATTGCCATGGACTCCCTGACTCAATGTAGAAATATTGCCATGAACTCCCCAACTCTATGTAGACATATTGCCATGAACTCCCTGACTTAATGTAGAAATATTGCCACGGAGTCTCCAACTCTAAGTAGACATATTGCCATAAACTCCCTAACTCTATGTAGACATATTGCCATGAACTCCCCAACTCTATGTAGAAATATTGCCATGGACTCCCTGACTCAATGTAGAAATATTGCCACGGACTCTCCAACTCTAGGTAGACCTATTGCCATAAACTCCCTAACTTTATGTAGATATATTGCCATGAACTCCCCAACTCTATGTAGAAATATTGCCATGGACTCCCTGACTCAATGTAGAAATATTGCCACGGACTCCCCAACTCTAGGTAGACCTATTGCCATAAACTCCCTAACTCTATGTAGATATATTGCCATGAACTCACGACTCTATGTAGACATATCATTGTCATGAACTCACGACTCTATGTAGACATATTGTCTTGAACTCTCTGATTTTATGTAGAAATACCATTGAACTCCAGACTCTATATATCACACACCATTGCCATGAACTCCCGGACTCCTCAACTCTATGTAGACCTTTTGCTATTAACTCCCTGACTCTATACCATTGTCGTGAACTCTCTGACTCTTTATATGTGACATACCATTTCCATGAACTCCTTGTATGTGATGTGGGCGTCACCGTCTCCATCTGCCCTCACCAGCAGTTCCCGGACTCTATCATCAGGAATATGCTCTGTGATGCCCTCGTCTATCAACTCATCCCGAAGGTTTTTGAGGGGCAATCCTTCACGTCCATGCTGGAATGGAAAAGTGGGGAATGTTAGTCAGATTATCATTTATGAAAGAATTCTTCACATCTGAAGGGATGTTTTAAAACTGTCACTTTATCACCATACCGGTGTATAATGATATTACACTTATAGCACTATACTAACCTTACACTCTGTAGCATGGTCGTACATATATTTAACAGTACAGATTTAAGTAAATGATTTTTTATCCCTAAACCCGGTAATCCTGCAGCAATATTAAAGGATTTTTCCAGATTTAACAGTATAACAGAGGACAGGTATAAATGATTAAGTACATATATATCTAGAACTGAAGTAATAAGGGCTCCTGTAAGAGGAATGATATATATGATTTTATATCCTTATCTTGTGGTAATAGAGGGCTTGTGTGTATTCATTGTTAAGTATGTGTATCCCTATCTTGTGGT